GAGAGGAGTAGGTTACTAGAAACTTGAAGGACAGGATTATAAAGGAAAGGCCTCTTTGAGAGGGGTGTGACCTTTGGTCAACTGAGTCAACCATTTTGAAGTGATCCTCCAGAGAGAGAGCAAGGGAAATACCGTATTTTTTTCTCCATGCCAACACTTAATCAGGGTTTACCCTTCGGCTAACCTAGCTAGGAACCATAAGACAAGAAGATACATTGATGTAGTCCATACAAGTCAGCTCATCAGGTGGAGAGCAGGATGAAGGATGTAGAATTACTCTAGAGGAGAAAATAGAAGATATCTGGCACAGTTCACCCCTTTGTTCTTTAGCATGTACTAATTTACTTTATTTGGATTAAAAGTTGGTGCCCCTAGCAAAAGCCTCCCCTTAGAATTGATAGGAGTTTCTGGGTAGTGCAAATAGTTAGTGTACTTGGCTGCGAACTGAGAGTGGAGGTTCAAGTCCACCTAGAGGTACCTCAGAAGAAAGACCTGGTGATCCACTTCAGAAAAATCAGCCACTGAAAACTCTATGGAGCACAGTTATACTCCAGCACACATGTGGTTTGGAATTGACTCCACAGCAACTGGTAACCATCAGGTACCTAGCTGGTTCCTCTAGGTAATAGTGCCATTTTGGAAGCTCAGCACTGGTTTATGCTTTTGGGAAGTTGGAAACTCAACAGTGGCCATAGCCAGATCAACATTTGTGAGTGAAAGACCATGTTGTTGGACTCATACATAGTCTCTGTCCTTGCAATCATGGTCACTTTGTTTATGGGCCTATTGAGTAAGCACTGGGAATGCTGGGGAAAGAGGCTGATTGACATCCACAGGAAGGGTCATCTTTTCCACCTGAATATTGAGAGCCTTATTTACAATGGGACATTAATAACTTTACATTCTCTGCCCGTTCAAAGAGATCCATTCACATACCTCTTCCCAGACTGCTTTATCACCAGTTTTCCTTTTTTTTTTTTTCCAAATCCCTGATTATCTGGCAAACTCATTCATTACTTCCCGCAAGTCAGTCTGTTTTAGATCCATACCCCTGGCCATTTATCCTTCAGCATGAAATGGACAACCAGATGCATAACTTTAATGGGGTTGTAGATCAGGAATTATCCATTCTGGCTCATACCAGCATCTGGTGCAGATCCATCCATTTGCTCTTACTTATTCCTCCTCTTTTAACTTGTGCTAGTGACCTCCATAGAAAGCCATTGGAGTGAGCTGAGGGGGAGGGGCTAAAACAGGTACTTGGGAATCTAAGCCACCTGCTAATGCAGTTTATTTTTGCCTTCTGTACCTGTTCAGTCCTCCTCACTTCTATTTTACAATGGAATGATGCCATCATCCAATTTTATGTTTCAGCACATAAGTCAATAACCAGTTCATGATGGGCAGTTCAGGTTGAATATCATTTGATGGCCTATGGTCAGGTGTATGTCTCTACCAGGGTTCTGTAGCAAGCCAGGAGCTGTTTTTAAATGAAGAATTATCTGCAGAGTAGGGCATGGCTTTTTCTTAAAAACGTAGAACTGTATGGTAATTATTCTACAGAGCCCCTTTCTAGAGATTTTATACAGCATCTCTATCACAACCACTTTGTAGTACCACTGGGTCTGATGGATCATAAATCCCAAGCGGCAAAGGAATTTGCATTAAGGTTAGGACCTGATACAGAGCCTTTTCTTACTTTGGGACTCACTAAAAACTGGAGGCCTTATGAGCTACCCCCGAAATGGGTCAGAGTAGCACATGTTACTTTCAAAATCTAAAGGCCTACCAAACTTTATGTTTCTTTTTTTGTGGTGAGCTGTTCAAGATGCAGCATCTTGTCTTCAACTTTAGAGTAATCTCCTAACATGCATGGAACTGCTGGAACCCTAGAAACTTCATTTTTTATGGCAGAGCTCTTAACTTTACAGGATTTAGATTCCTTCTTCTAGCCTACATATGTCCTACTAAGGTATCTTCTTCTACTTGTTACTTCTGCTCACCAGATCCATTTAGCGTAACATCAGTGTAATAGACCTGTGTGATATTCTCTGAAATATTAAGATGATCAAGTTCTCTCTAGACTGCATCATAACAGAGAGCAGTAGAGCTGATACGCCCCTGGGACAAGACAGTTAAGGTATTCTGTTGCCCATGCCATGTAAATGCAAACAGCAACAGCTAGAGACTGTCAGTCAACTATGCTCCTTGCAGAATGTTCTCTTGAAGGGAGACCTAAACAGTGTACCTCCTTGGCCACTATAGAGGGATATCATAGGATGAGACTGTGATCTCTTTGGACTCTCTGGGTATAGATTCAGGCTAATGCTCCATCTTTCACTTGACCTCCATAAGCCCCCATTGATTGGTGGCTCACAATGGAGTTTCAGAATTATAGTCAGTTCAGAGCCATTATCTAATAACCTCCAGAATATTTGGGTGCTTCCCATTCCTCAGTACATGGTCTCTTTAGTAAATGTCCCTACTGAGAAAGCTTGGGGAAAATTTTACAGTATTCATCTGTGGCCTTATTACAGGGTCTTTCCTTAAAGGGACCCAGTCTTTTCCCCCTAAGACTGGATACCAGGTATGTGAAGTGTCTCAAGTCAGGAAAAAGGCCATGAACCCCAACTCTAGTGATTTGCATTCGTTTCTGCCCAGCAGAATTAGAAGTGTTTTTTGTTTGTTTGTTTGTTTTTTTCCTTCATATGTCTTTGACCCCTTAGTAGCCTGCTTATGAATTTAATTTTTAGGGATCTCATTCAGAGATTTATTTGGGTTAAAAAAAACTTATGATTAGCACTCTACCCTGTGGTTTATTGTGGTGATTTCTCTGAGGTCTAATTGCTACTACCTGGCCTTTATCACTACAAGATTCCATTATTCCCAGTGAAATTAGAGAAACCAATTCCACTGCAGCATTATCCGTCATCATTTCTGACCTAATAGGGAAAGTCACCACAGAACTCGTGAATGCTAATGTCCACCTTACCAGCGCACTTCTTAATGTCTTTCCAGGGGATATGGGAAAATTGCACCTAAGAGATCCATTCCAACATTTCAATTTCCCTTGTCCTTTGTACTCTTTCTACTGCAGTATTAGGGAAGCTCCAACATTTCACCGTCATTAAAATAGGCCACTGGGGAGTCCAAGCCTTGACTCAACTGTTAAAGCCATTTGCAAGTTGTCATTAAATTTTGACCCATTTCAGTTGCATCATTTCAATTAAATCACCCAGATAATGCCTTAATTTTCACCTTTTTTTAAGTCTAAACACCGTGTATCTCTCTACCCCAGAAATGTTGTCTTAACTCTCATTTTATACCTGGAGGCAATGAGAAGTGGTAGAGGTGAGTTCTAAGGAAAATTACACCTAGTTTCTGAGTCATTGAAAGGTTTTTAAGTGAAGGCGGAGTTTTTCCTCAGAAGGGATATTATTGAGGAAAAGCAGTTGCCTCTGTCAGCTAGAGATGCTTCAAGTTCTCTCCTTACTTCATGCCTGGAAAAATATCCATATCCCGGTGTTCCTCTCCTTCCTCATCCTTAGTGTAAGAGACCTGAGAGTCTAAAACTTTTAACTGGCACTAGGTCTTCACAGACTGTCCATCAGCCCTTGAGTTTTGTCCTCTGCCCTATCTGCCCTGTGACTACAGGAGATAAAGGACTCCTTCAGAGCTGCCAAGGAGGCCTTCTGGTTCCCCATGCATGTATTTAATTGTATGTTCATAGCTATTTTTTTCATTTCTGTGTTCTCTGTCAGGGACCATCAGAAGAATCTAGGTAATAGTCACAATTTTTATAATAAATCGTTGCTATAGAACTAAATGTCACATCCATTTCATCTCACAATACCTTGCCCTCCGTGCACTTCATCCTATGATACTATTGATAATTTGAATAATCAGGGTGCTACTACATCCCATAGATTTCCCATGTCCTATTATCACTGTGTTCCTTGAATCTATTAGCAACCCAATCCCAGAATCCTATTTTGAGAATCTTTTCCTGGCACTGTTTGTGGTACAATTACTGAATCTGAGTCCCAGAAGGAAATAGATGGGACATTTAAATTAGAAAAATTCAAGGAGGGTTTAATAAAGGAACTGTTTTCAAAGCTATGGTCACTATAGAGAAACGGCAAGGGATGGTACTTGCTAACAGCAGAGGTGTTACCATCCGTAAGCTTGAAGGGAGGAGTTGAGGGAAAGGTTACCAGAGGCCAAAAGGAAAAAGTATTGAGAGGGAAGCTGGGTTCCTTGGTGGAGAGGCATAGCTATCCAGAGGTTATCCCACAAGCAGGGAGTCAGGAGAATTTCCTCTGTCCCTCAGACCTCCTACTAGACCCTCCTAATCAGACCCCAGTGGCAGGATCCATTGGAAAGCCAGAGGGCCAAGATGGCCTTTGATATAGGCCATCAGGTGAGCCTCCTAAGGGCAGAGAACAAGGTGTAAGATGGTAGAGAATAGATAGAAGGGCATGCCAATTATACGAAGAATTCCAAGGCATTTAATTTTGACATTTAATTTTAAGGCATGTTGTAGATAGAGAAGGAAACTATTGTAATGTTTTAAAGTGGTTTTCTCAGACTGGAACGAAGGATCTGGTCAGCTCTTGAAAGGAGAAAGTAGTGGCTTGGGGAGACCAATTTCCCTATTCTACATACCTCTCCAGAGGAAGAGTGACTTTTTTAAATTATCTTAACCATCTTAGGGTTCTGCTAAGTAATTCACAAATATTTTAGTGCTTATTCTTAGCTGTTCCCATAATAAGCAATACCTAGGATTGTTTTCATTCATCAAATTTATTAAATAATTTTATTAAGTAATCTACATAGACATATGTAACAATTCAATATAATAATAAATAGTTTGATATAAAATAATTTAAAGTAATACCATTTTAGAGCCCCTAGGGCTTACAAAAAGAATCTTAAAAGATCCATATTCATCATCTAAAGACTGAGAATAATAGTTACAAAAGATCATAAACCATTCATCCAAAAATAAATTATAAAATTTAAATATTTGAATAAATACAAAGCCCCATACATTTTAAATGGGAGACACTATCAAGTCAGTGTTGAGATGATTCTTTGACAAAAGGCAATCCAGTTGTTCAGGAATTCTTCAATGGTTGCTGCCTTATCATCATATTCACACATGAATGGTGTTTTAGATCCCTATAAAAGAAAAACAGTAATTTTTTTTAGTTCAGTTAGTTTATATATAATTATTCTCTATTGAAGCCTTCTTTTGAAGCAGGCTAATCATTCATATTTTCTTAAAATGATCAAAATGATGTGCAAAAATTATATGTTAAGATACCAAATGATAGTAACATACAACCTGAGATTTTCCTCATTTGTTAATTCTTCTGTCAATCTCAATGAACACAAGATTTTTTTCTGAATTGTGTGCAAGTAAATGTTTTAAATAAAAATAGTTCTAGACAAATATTAAATGCTGTGCACAAAATAAAGTTATTTGACCTCTTTTCCTCTGTGTATCTCTATCTATCTGTCTGTCTATGAATCGGAATTGACTTGATGGCAGTGGGTTTTATGTATCAGTGTAACCTACATGTATGCAGTGAAATGCACATTATACTCCTCTTTTGTAAACCTTGATTAAGAGTCTCCTGTTATTCTACTTCAGTGAATCTCCTCATATTTTCCCCAAAGCAGGATAGTACCTTCCAAGAGTAAATTAGGACAAGTTTGGGGGAAGATTTATATAAGGAACATCTTCATAACTGCTCATACCCACCTGCATCCCACCCCAGTATCAATACAAGTGTGTTTCCCAATTTTTAAAAGTCTAAACATTAGAAATTTTGTTCTGTAGAAAAACTTTTTGGAAATTAGCCTCCTCTGTTGAAAAAAACCATTTCAACTCTGCCTGTAGCTGACACACTGTGTATTTTGATATATAGTGAGATAGAAGGCTTTTTGAAGTAATTCCTATCTTGGAAATACAAAACAAGTGAGAAAGTGTGAAGTATCCCCTTGAAATAAACGGTTTTAGTGTTATGTTCTCTCACACATAATTATTTACAGATTGTAATCTCCTGGGGGCAGTTTAAAAAGTCTTTGGCTTTTTTGAAACCATTTTGTGGATTTTCACATAGCTATCTTATATTTGTATCAAAAGTTTACAGTGAGTTTCTGATCAAGAATTTTAGAGCAAATCTGTTGACAAAGATGACATTGATCTCAATGTTGAAGGATGTAATTTAACTGAAAGAAACATTCCACTAATAAAGCAGTTCTTAATTTGGAAACAAGTAGAGCTACATACTTTTAGAATTAGATCCTACTACTGTAATTAAAATTATGCTGCTTATTTAGGACACCTATGAATTCATGAATTTTATACTTTGGCAGCAGATGAGATGGGAAAAGAGAACCATGCATCTCTTTCACATCACCTGAGTCTCCTGTGTATTTAAAAATACTTAAGGCCCTAAACAGGGGGCATTACCTGTAAATAAAGAGTTATTTATCTAGTTCATTGCCATTTTAATGGCTGCCATTTTTTTTTAGACAAATACCTTATGGTTAGTCCTTCCACCAAGTGATAGGGAAACACCATTTTTTAGGTCTTTCAGTATTGCCTACTCTGGTAAATGATCTGAAGGAATTGAAAAATATATAATAAAATCTGTCTGCCTTCTTTGAAATTCAATTCAGTGCCTTCTCCCATTTCTGGTTGTGCATTAATGTGAGGGGCTGGCTGAGTGTGACTGATCAGTAGCAAGTGATTATTCATGTAGGGGTTGAGGCTTATCCTTGGAGTAGATGGTAGAAGAAAACCCTCTAGTTTATACTGTCCAGCTCTACAGTGTATTATGTAGCATTAAAAATGATTCATGTTCACATCAGACTTAAAAATGTTGGCTAATCAAATACATGGGTATTTCACAAAATACCAAAATGTTAAAACACTTTAAAATGCAATATTTTCTCCTTCATTTATTTGATTTCCAGGAAAGCAGACAAAGTAATACCTCACCTGTAACTCCAGAGCTGTTACATTGATATTGCTGATTAATTCCCTGGTATTTTGTTTGCTTGGAGCTACATTTAGCACGTCCTCCAGAGGTTTGAGTTCTTCTACTAGACACTGAAGATGTTTCAATTCTGTGGCCTAGAAAAATAATAACAATAATTGCCACCTCATTTTGCCCTAAAGTTCAGAATCAGAAATTAATCTCCAATTTATTTTATTAAGAGTGGCAGTACATAGTTCCATCATTCACACTGTTTCATCATAGCTGTAAAACCAAACTCATAGCCATCGAGTCTATTCCAACTCATAGCGACCGTATAGGACAGAGTAGAGCTGCCCCATAGGGCTTCCAAGGAGCAGCTGGTGGATTCGAGATGCCGATCTTTTGGTTAGCAGCTGAGCTCTTAACTGTTGCACCACTATTGCTGTAAAGATGGACCAGTATTATGATTACATATTAAGACTGGAAAAACTAGGTCTCAACTGACTATGACTAGCATTAACTGTTAGTTAAGGATTAATGGATCATTGATTTCAGCTTAATTTGGCTTTGAAAAATGTCAGCATGTTTGCAAATCACAGGTATAGGCTGACTGCTCCTCCAGTCTGCTTAGAAATCATTAGAGCCAGAGCAGTCAGAATGTGGAAGTATAGGAATCACATTTTTTTGATATTAACATGTGGGATAACCTGAGAGCTGAGAATCACAGAATGATGGGGACGGAGGAGCCCTGAGTGCCGTCTATCACAGTTCCAACATTTGACAGATTAGGTCATTTTAACTGTATGATAATGACTCTCAGTATAGCCTAGAGCAAGTCACATGTCTTAAATTTTTACTTTCCTACAATAACTACATTAAGATGCATTAGTTGTCCAAACCAAATAAAAAGTTACAATATTTGAAGTTTTTTTTTTTGGACAGACCTCCTAATTTAGACACTGCAGGTAACTATCCTTTATAGAGGAGATTCCCTAGGTGGCGCAAACAGTTATGCTCTGGATCGCTAGCTGAAAGATTGGTGGTTCAAACCCACCCAGGCTCCTCAGAAGACAGGCCTGGCAATCTGCTTCCCAAAGGTCACAGCTTTGAAAACCCTAAGGAGAAGTTCTGCTTTGCATATGTGTGTGTGTGTGTGTGTGTGTGTGTGTGTGTATATGTATATACGCATGTACATATGTGTGTGTGTGTGTGTGTGTGTGTGTATAACAACTAAGAACAACATTATCGAGTCAATTCTGACTCACAGAGACCCTATAGGACAGAGTAGAACTGCCCCATAGGGTTTCAAAGGAGCATCTGGTGGATTCGAACTGTCATGGCAACCTCTTGGTTAGCAGCCAAGCTCTTAACCACTGACCCACCAGGGCTCCATATATATATGTAAAATGATAATACTTCATGTAAAATGATAATACTTCATACTTGTACATTATAGTTTCAAAGTGTTTTCTCCTAAATAAGCCCATTGAAGTCTCATAGTCATCCTTTGAGGGAGGCAGTACAATATAGCTATCCCTATTTTACAAATAAGGAAACTAAATCTCAGAATGTAAGTGTCTTCCCCAAGGCTGCATGAGTCAGTAGAGCCAGGATGAAAGTTTCCTGGTAGTTGTGCCAGGGTGAAATTTCAATTCTTTTCCTTTATCACATTAACATAGCATCCTTCAGACTTAAATGTTCTTGTGGCTTTCTAAAATCTTTTGCAAACATGAAATGGTGGTAAAGTGAACAAATAAGTGAAGTTTATCACGTTACTTTTGTTTTCAAATAGAATTTGAGTTGTCATTTAGAAACTGTTAGATTTCAAAGAATTCCCTCCCCCCTAAATTACACACATAATCTCATGTTATCTTTCTAACAATTTTTGGAGTGAAAAGTAAAACTAGGCAACACATCTCTTGACATTTCCATCTATTACCCTTTCAACTTGCTACTACAACTTCAGGGCTTCCTTTTTTTTATGAGCAACATAGAGCTATTTCCCTAAGAAAACAGGATCTAGTGTTTTCTCTGTTGCTGAAGGTAAGAGTTATGTGGCTCTGGTTAAACTGGAGTAGCCTTTGTAAGCTCTTAGGTTTTCATCTTACAAAAGAACAGTTTTAGCAGAATCCTCTTGAATTAACAGATGTGGATCAATAGTAGGATTGAATCTATGCCCCCTTCCATTTTTTCCCTCCTGGGCTTGGATTCACCCTGAGACAAACTTTTCTGCAACCAAAGTTATGCTCCAGTCTCTGTTGGCTGGCACAACTAGTCGGACACTTTAAACCTCTATTGTAGCTCCATGAGCTTAGATGATCTATACTTATCTATCTAGACCCTAAAAAACCAAATGAAGCTTTTACTTTTGGAAATAGGTCATATAGCATCTTAAGTCTCCAGGTTTACTGACATAAAAGATATATAAGTCCAAAATTTTACATTTAACTCCCAAATGAGAATTTGTCTTTAGTTCTATTAGTAATAGCTGAGGCTTATATGGTGTTTACCAGGTGCCAGACAGTGTTCTGAGTGCTTTACATTTACTCACTAATCCTCACAAAACAATATAAAGTGGATACAATTATTATTCACATAAAGAGATAAGAAATTGAGTCACAAAGTGAACCCAGAGCTGGGATTTCAATTCAGATAATCTGGCTCCAGAGTCTGTGCTATTAATAATTACTGTGCTATGTTGCCTCTCAAAGATAAACTCTTAGGAATCTTTTCTAAAACAAAGGATGTTTTAAAGTGGGGTCCTTAGAAATCAATTTTGATATTTTGCATGGTATAATGATAGAATCAAATATTTCTAGAGTTTTGTATTTTAAATAAAACAGTAAATTAACATATTCTTCCTTTTAAATTGTCCCAGCAATAAAGTAAGAATATCATCCACATCTTTTCTTTCCAGCCTTCCCCATGACAAAACACACAAAAGTACATCTAAAAAATGGCAGGCAAAGTCATTTTAGCAGAAATCACATTATCAAATTTAGATTAAATATATATATATATATTCAAGTTACTACTTCTTTAAGATGAGGTGCTATTGATTAGTGTTCACATTTTTATATTGCTTTGAGTTTTAAAACAGGAACATAGAAAATTGTACTTACCTTCTTGGGCATGTTAAATTTAAATGTGAACATCATGGAGAGTCTGCGAGGCTCGTAATTCTGAGAAAGCATAAGACATTGTTACTAAAAAACGAACTGCAACTAGAAAAAATTAAATGTAGTAATTTTAGTAAGAAAGGGACTATACTTACTTTAACTCTAACCAGAAGCATCCGTAGGTCCAGCAGTAGTTGCTCCAGTTGTTGCTGTGTCTCCTTTGCAGAGCTTGAAGTGGGTGCACTGTTTGTGATGAGTGCAAGCGTTAGTACAATGCAAGACAAGAGTTGCATCTTGAACATTGTGGCAGGAGTTGAGGTTGCTGTGAGTAGTGATGAGAGGTTTGATAGGAAGCTCTTGAACAAAAGAGCCATTTATACTGTTAATTCTGGAAAAAATATTATGGGGGTGTCAAACAAAATGTTTTACATATTACACATACTTTCAAAGACTCTACCTGTGTGGCAAAAATCATTACCTTTATTTTTCCTCTTCTGATGACTCTTTGGAATTTCTATAAACCCCAATAAACTGACTGAATGGATGTAGGTGAAGTCCCTCTTGGTTGCGTTAGCCCACACTTAGGTGGCAGTTCTAATTCATATAACTAACGCCTTCTGTATGAAACAAATTTTCCTCCTCCTTCATTAAGAGGGTGGGGATACAAAAGTGGCTCATGAAAATTTTCTCTTTGTCATAAAACCATGGCGAGTATGTGGAGCAGCATGTTGCGGTGGACAAGAGCAAGAGTAAATAGATGAAAAGAATAAACTTTTAGATTTGTTGATTACACAGGAAGAATATTGGTTTCCTGTTTCAGGATGGTTTTACCTTTTTATCTGCATAATGACTTAGCTATTGCATACAATGTGATAGATTACTTCTTGCACAATCAGCTAGAAGAGAGATATTAAGATTAGAATATATAAAATTCTCATTGAGCTTGAGGTACTATTTTATGCTGTTTTAATTTTAACATGTTTCTTGTATCTGTTTAAATCTCTTCATTAATGTCTGTTATACTTTTTTTTTTTCCTTGAAGGTTATGGTGTTTAACAAACAAATGCTCAGAAAAGAGTTTGCTTCCAGAGTGCGGATGCTAGTTTGATAACAGACCTTGATATGTGCAGTATGTCAACCAATCCATAAGTTTCTATTTTTTATATTTTCATATCTTTAATAGATCAGTAGCTATCCTCTAAAGTACCTGAAACACTATGAGTATAAAGATTATAATTATGAAATATAATCAGATCAACATTTTTTCAGTCAGTAAACTGGATAGAATACTTAGAATTTGTGTTCACTTGTCCTTGTTGGTGGAATTCACTGAAAGATGGCCTATGTATATACCTCTAATTTAACCTGAGGAGACCTGAGAAGACCTTTTCTCAAACAGATTGCTTCTAACTCCTCCATTTTTACTGCCTTCTTTATTTCTTGTCTGGCCTTTAAATAGACATTTATCTAGAACCTATAATGCCTTCAGGTATATAGAAAGGTTGGAAAAAGAACATTGTGCCGGCACACTGTCTAATTTAAACCTCCCAATAAACCTATGAAGTGATGGTTCCCACTTTGCAGATTAGAAAAGTGAGGCTCAGAGAAGTTCAGTAATTTGTCCTAGGTCACTCAGCCAGTAAGGGACAGAAAAAGGATTTGAAGCCAGAATATTCTGACTCCAAAGTCTTTCCATTTGTATTTTCTCTCAGAGAACTTCATGTGTAGTAGGGAAGTTAACACATGTACACAGACACCTGTAATTCTAGGTAGAAGGCAGTTGCTGCCTCAAAAGAGGTGGATGAAAAGAACTTTGAAGGATCAATTACTATAAACTGGGCTCTGAACCATGGCTAAGCTATAGATATATAAATTCAGAGTTAGGAAGAAGGTGGGTCATCAGGCTAAGTAGTCTAAGGAACACTCAATTTAATCTCTTACAGAGAAAAGGAAAATGGTTCAGTAATACTTCTATGGGTTAGGCAATATTTTGGAGGATATAAAACAAAAAATTTAAATACAAGCATTCTAGTTCCTCAGGTGGAAAAAAAATGAACAGCCAGATTAGGGCCAAATCTCTTGATCTTTTTATTACTAAAAGACTGTAAATTGTCTTTCTGTATCTTTCAAATCAAAACCACAAAGTTAGCATTAGTTGTAAGGGGAAGACTATTTAGTGATCAGTGTATGAACTTTATTATACTTGTTTTGCTTCTCTAAAGACTTCAGCATCTCATCCCAGCATCATCCACTCAGACTTCACCCTTCCAGAATGGAAGAATTCAGGCCCACACATTTTCCAACGAGGCCTTTCATGTTGTCAGAGTCTTGATATGTATATTTCTGTGACTATTTCATTAGCGAATGGGGCTATGTATAGTTGTCTTTCAGGGACCCTATAGAAAATTCGGTTCCTGGGCCCCTGGTTTATCCCGCCTGGTTTATTGCATTACAGAAGTGAAGTGCTTGGGGAGAAAGCTGCCATCCACAGTGACATACTTTCGCTTTTTAATATGTCTGACACATCAGCTGGCTTTTCTGGCTGTAGTGGTTGCAAAGTCAGTGATAGCCTGCTAACTACCATGTGTGTGTCATACCCCTGCTTCCTCTTTGAACATAAAATTTTACTATTCAACAAGAAGCTGTTTTAGTTGCTTAGCATTGTTTGTGACTCAGCCTTTTAGACTCAAGAGCAGCCCAAGTCATTTAAAAAGAGCAGCCCTAGTCTACGAAGCTGTCTACCAAAGAGATTGTCCATTTACCAAGGTTGACTTTCAGAGCCTCCTCCCTCCTCAAGCATTTCTTGTTTCTGACCCTCTCTCACAGCTCTGCAAAACTTTAATTTGGTCTGGAGCTTGATACCTAAATTAGTGCATCTTTTGTCAGTTTCTCTAAAGGCCCATTGGCTTTTCAAGATTCAATTCTCTCTCTTTTGAGTTAGGATGTATTGTTGGATAATCTCCGTACCGCCCAAAGAGAATCTCCCGTGAAAATCCAAATTTCCTCAGGCATAGGTTGGTGCACAGTCTTTGTGTTTATCAGACCTCTGGTCCTCCGTCATGTGATACCACTCTCTGTTTGCCATCACAGTTAAGTCTTGTTTGTGTGTGCTTTTCTGTAATGTGGTAAATTTTAATGATGTTCATAACCTTTGGGATGGAAGGATTATTTGCTTGTTACTTTTAATTTAGCAACGTGTTTTCAAATACACTATCTCATTGATTCACATTTTATTTATAAGAAATTTGGGACCTGAAGAGGTTAAGTGACTTGCCCAAGATCACACTCTTTATTATGATGAAGTTAGAGCAAAAGCCCAAGCTTCCGGACACCTCATGGTCTCGTCTCTTTCCAGCGTAGCCTAGTGATGCCAAATTCTAGACCCATCAGGCTACGTAGAGAAAGCTGAATTAGATCGTACCTACCACTTTGCCTTTCTTTACTATCTGGGTGATAGCAGATGAGTCAGACAAGGCATCATCCACCCTCACCTAACCAGTACCTTGTTTGAGCAACTTCAGAATTTCTAAGAACTTCATGGAACAGCTGAATCCACACAGGAGCTACTAAAGCTGGGTTTTGCACATGTTTTTTAAACCTTTTCCTGGAATTTTTAAAAAGCACTAGAGCACTTGTTGTTTCCTGACACTTTTCCCATATCTAAAGTAAGGAAATGATGGTATCCGCTGTGGGTTTAAGCTGCATTGTGCTCTTAGAAGTGCGGTGTTCTAAGGATGACATGACAGATGTTGCACTAGGCAATTGTCTGCTTTTGGCAGCCAAGAGACACCTCACTACTTATATGTGGTGAGAATGGGAGTATCCTCAAAACCTTTGAAATTTTACTTTTTGTGTAAATATAAGACCTCTGTGACAAGTCACATAGCAGCTACTAGAGGAGGAATGTGATCAACCACTCTCTGACAACAATGGTAATAGATTTGCAAAGCATTTCAGGTTTATAAAGCACTTTCACATCTATGCATCTCGTTTCACATTTTTTAATCTAGTTCACTACGAAATAGTTAAAGAAAGAAACAGTTTTTCTGGCTGTATGTGTCTCATGAAGAACTTTATTTTCTTCATACATTGAGACTTGTACCTTGAAGCTTGCAGAAAAACATTAACTTTCTCCTCTGTCAAGATAAATACTTTCATTAAAATCTTATGAAAATAAGTTTATCATTTACACAGACTTACGCTTATCTTCATCAAATTGCTTTTCCTGTCTCTGTTTCTAAGTTCTCTGTTAACAGTATATTCTTTCCTTCTTCTTTAGTGGCTTTGGATGTACCATTGACGGAGCCTGTTGTTCCATCTTTCCTAAATAATGTTTTTTAAGATTATAACCTGCTTTTATTGTTTAAAAATTTATAACATTATTTTCTGATTACAAAATAAAACATATTAATTATAGAAATGTGGGAAACATAGAGAATCTCAAAAAGAAAAATTGTCTGTAATCTTACCAGCTAGAAAAAAACAGTTGTTAAAACATGTTGGTATATGTCTGTCTAGTCTTTTTTCCATGGTACATTTTTACCTGCTTTTTTTCTCTTAATAATGTGTTAGAAATATTTGATGTATCATGAAGTATTGTTCAAAAACATCATGTTTAATGGCTGCATAGAATTCTGCTGTATGGCTGTATCCTATTAGTAGAATTTACGTTATTTCTAATCATTCACAATTATGAATAGTGGTGTAATTCACTAATATCTTTGCACATAAATATTTGTACAAAATTCTGATTATTCTGTTAGGATCAAAATCTTAGCAGTGGAATTACTGGGTCAAAAAGTATGGACATTTTAAGGCTTTTGATGGTTATTCACGAAGTTTCTAACAGTGTAACACACCCAGCAGTGGTATGAGCCTATATTTTCTATGCCTCCCCCATAGTTTCCATACTGTCAAATGGGAGGGGGGGAGAGAAGAAGGAGGGAGTGGTGAAATGTGTGCTGATTGGTGGTTATACTTACATACAGGAAACATTTGGAATTCGGAGTCAGTCAGACCTGGCTGCAAACCCTATCACTCACTCTCCGTAGGACCTTAAACAAGTCATTTGTCTTTCTTGAGCCTCAGTTTTCTCACTGCTAATTATACACCAGAGTCCCCCCAGAGTCCATTGGTACACTGTAATTTGTGGAAGACGCTCATTGTTTTGGTTCCAAGTAGTTATAAAGGCCCCTACCTTGTGGCAGCATGCACTGTCAATGGGAAAGTAGCTTCCAGAAATAGTTATAGAGGTGGCTAATTCTAGAGCCAATCTTGACTCTTAAATTTATGAATATGTACCCCATTCTTAATGCTGTTCTCTATCCTTGACCGCAAGCCCAGTATCAGCAAACAACTCTGGACTCCTCATCATAGGATGTTAGGATTCCTGTAGAGTTCATTTCACCTCTTAGGCCGAAGTTGTTTACAAACTAACGTGCACAGACCTTCTGTCCCTGATAGGGTTATATCTTCTCTTCCCTGTAGCTTGGCCTAATAACATACAGTTTATTAGATTATTTTGTATCAGTTCTCAGTGAGGATAACTTACAACTAGAGTTGTTGAGTACATCAGTGAAGACAACAAGTAAATACAGTAAGGATCATTTACATGGCTATTTGTTATAGTTAGCTTACCAAATTGAAGGTGAGGAATAAAACAAAGAAGAAATAAAAAGAACTTCATGATGTAAGAGTGTCAGAGTAGAGGATACTTTCTTCAACAGTA